GCGGCGTCGCAACCACCGTAGTTGCTGGTGCCGGTGCAGGTACGCGTCACAGGAGAGTTGGGGTTGGCGGGGCAAACGCCAGTCGTACCCGAGCACTTGGCGTCGTCGGTGCAAGCGTCACCGCCTTGCACGTCGTGTCAGCAGGCTTGAAGTTGTCCTTGCACTTGCCGTTGCCGTCGCAGTTGTCGGTCGCGGCGTCGCAGCCACCGCTGTTGCTGGTGCCGGTGCAGGTACGCGTCACAGGAGAGTTGGGGTTGGCAGGGCAAACGCCAGTCGTACCCGAGCACTTGGCGTCGTCGGTGCAAGCGTCACCCGCCTTGCACGTCGTGTCAGCAGGCTTGAAGTTGTCCTTGCACTTGCCGTTGCCGTCGCAGGTTGTCGGTCGCGGCGTCGGCGTCGCAGCCACCGCCGTTGCTGGTGCCGGTGCAGGTGCGCGTCACAGGAGAGTTGGGGTTGGCAGGACACTTGCCGGTCTTGCCGTCACATTTCGCATCGTCCGTGCACGCGCCGCCGGCTTGGCATGTCGTACTCTTGGACTTGAACGCGTCGATGCAAACACCCTGGTCGTTGCACGTGTCATTGGCGTCGTCGTCGCAGCCGCCGTTGTTTGAGCACCCTTGCGTCGGGCACTTGGTGCCTCTCGCCACTTGCGTGTACGAGCACCGGCTTGCAATGCATCCGTTGAACGTGTGGCATGGCACCGACGGACAGTTGGCGGCTGCCGTGGTGACCGTGCACGTCGGCGGCGTAACTACAGTGTTGTAGATGGCGTCCAGCGCCGACACCGAGGCCACCGCAGCTGCGAGCGTAAACAGTTGGAGGCGCATTGTTGTCAAATGTGGCAAATGCGAAAGTGGCCGTCCTGTTGTGCTTCATCGCGCGAGGTTTTGGACGAATCGCCGGGCGGCAATGTCGTTTTCCCAACAGCAGACTTCGGCGAGGTGGCAGATAATCTGGGATTCCGGCGCCATTCGCCCGGAGTTTTTCCGGGATGAGATGCCCGATTTCCGGACGATGGACGGTAGTTATTTGCCATCGTGGCAGATATCGGCCAATGGGAAGCGCCTTGGTATGGCAACCGTCCGGCAACCGCTGGCAACAGCCAATCAAATGCCTGGATACCAATTCCCAACGACGAATAGGATCGCTGGATACCAATTTTGACACACCAATCCAATTGACTGTG